GGGGGCGAGCAGGGGCTCATCGCAACCCGCCTCGGGCTCTTGGCCCGCTGCCGGGTGCGGGTGGGGGTCACCGGGCTGCTGGGGCTCGCTTGCCCCGGGCCTGGCCCCCAGGCGGAGTTATCTTGGCTGTCTCCGCGCTGTGTTAGATCCAGCTTTGAAGCGGGTCCCGCTTGGAGCAGCGGGCAGGGTGGTTGTTGTGTGGTTTGTAAAGATGGACGAGCTGCTGATGGAACACTGACGTGTCACCACCAGCGCTGCGTGAAGCTGGCAGGCTGGCCACGCTGGGCTGCTTCTCAGCCGAGTTTGACGTGGTCTCTTAAGGCCCCTTTCAGCCAAAAGCAAAGAAGCCTTCTCCATCCAAAAGTATTTTTTAACGTGGTTTGATGACCCCTCAAGTGATTTTGTAGGAGCTGGCTTTGGTCTGGCAGAGCCAGTGCTGAATTGCAGAGCTGGTAAGCTGTGTGGGACTCCAGTGGTATTTTTCTTGGAGAAAGAAACCACTTAAAGTATCTTTTTTTTTTCTCTTTTCTTTAAGGGCTTTACTGGAGGATATGGCATATGGATCTTGTTCAGTCTGCGGTCCTGTACAGCGTGATGACTCTCATCAGTACCTATCTAGTAGCTTTTGCATATAAGAATGTCAAGTTTGTTCTCAAACACAAGTGAGTTTGGTGGCTATTTGAAGTAGAATTTATTATTAAATAATATAACAAAACCAGCATTTACAGCATTTTTTTCTGAATGTCTGAAATGTTACTCAAAAAAACTTACTTTACACAGAAGCATCCCCAAATTTGTGTCTGTCATTTCTCTTGTAATTATGGAATAGACTAGCCTTGTCAGCTAAAATGACAATGAAATAGCTAAACTACCTTCATTCTCAGTGGGTATTGCTACAAACTATATTTGATTAATACTTTTAGTAATTTGATTACTACTTGTTATCCCTTCAACTTGGCAAAACTGTTCAGTGTCTCGACGTGGTATTCTTCACTGTAAATACAACTTCCTAAAACCCCAGGGTTTTTTATTTTTAATTTTCAATTTAAATGGCATTTCTTACAGAGTAGCACAGAAAAGAGAAGACGCTGTTTCCAAAGAAGTTACTCGCAAGCTGTCTGAGGCAGACAATAGGAAGATGTCTCGTAAGGAGAAGGATGAAAGGTAATCCTCTTTGTCCTCTTCTTTGTCTCCCATGTAATGCTGCCTAGTATCTTTAAGGCTCCAGGGAGGATATTAGGGCTTGTTGCTTGGCCACTGGGGTTTTTTCTGTATTCTGGTAAGTAGAAGCCGTAGTGTCAGCTCTTCGTTCATCCATAAAGCCTTTTTAAGGCAAGTTATCAATGAAAGGTCTCAAAGATTAAAACCTTTATCAGTAAGGTCCTTTAAGGCAACCTCTCCATCCTTGAGCCAAACAACTTATTGTACAGGCCTTCTAAGAACTCTCTGAAGAGTAAGAGTAACTGTCTTCAGAAATAAGAAAGGCTCCTTTTCTTAAGGACAGGGTAGGGCCATGTATTTTGCTTAGTGACATGCAAGTTCTTTCAGAATAGTGTGCTGCTGGGCTGTACTGCTAATCACTGGTTGTACTTGTTGCCCCTCACGGTTATAACAGGCATGTCTCAGTATGCAGGTTCCCAGCTGAAGAGCTCATACTAATATCCAGGCTATGCCCGATGAGCATATGGGGAAGCACTTAGTGTTAGAGTAGATGCCAGTTATGTACAAGACACAGGACATGAGCTGTCAGCTCTTGGGAGCTAAAAGTCGTATCCTCCCTTCTAATTGTCAGGCACACTGGAAGCATCAAACAGATACAGACTCACAAAAATTGTTATTTATGAAGGGCTAGGTTTGATGTACCTGGTAGGAAAACAAGCGCAAGTCACTTAAGTGTACAAGTGTATAGCATATGCAGGGTTTTCTCTTTAACTGATGAGTTGACTGGTAGTTCTTGCCATGCTCTGTCTTTTAGAAGCTGGCTATAACAAGAGCAGCAGTATGTGGTTTACTGCACCTCTGGGTGTCAATCGCTTCATAATGGTGGGTGTGCCAGGACATGCTTCGATTTAAATGTGCCTGAAATAATGTCTCTACTTCTTCCTAGAATTCTGTGGAAGAAAAATGAAGTTGCAGATTATGAAGCAACAACTTTTTCCATCTTCTACAACAATACTCTCTTTCTGGTCTTGGTCATCATTGCTTCATTTTTTGTGCTGAAGAACTTCAACCCCACTGTGTATCCTTTATTATTGCACTTGAAACAACAAGAGTCCTATTCCTACTTGTTGTCATTAGTAGCTATATTTGTCATGTGGATTGTGAGATTACTCTGCTGATATATGCACATTGTAGTACCTCAGCTTAGAAACACTTCAACATAAAAATAGAGAATACAAAAAAAAATAATCTCCCAATCATGTAAAAGTCTAAAGTCTGACAGGAGGTATTTTAAGGATATCACTTGGACAATACACAGAAATTCTTACGGCTTTGCCATTTCAATTGTAATTGGGGAATGAGGAGGCAGCTCGTGTTCTTACAGAAACACTGCGTTGGTGTTAGTTGCCAGGTGCTCTTACACTACAGCATTGTTTCAGTAACTTCACAAGTAAAATTTTTTGTTACTTACATAAATAAGTACTGCCAATCAGGGACGCGTATGTTAATTAAAACTATTCTGTACTTAACTGTATTCATAAACACTTCTAAGAGAACAGGCTAAACACTATGGGTGTCTTAATTTTGAAGTTAAGTACATTTCAGCATCCTGCTAACACCTTGATTGTAAACTGTATTTCAGGTTAAGATATTGCAATTTGAAAACTCCTACAGACAAAAACCATTTCAATCCCTTGTTTTTCATGAAACTTCTGCTAAATGTTCTGTACAAAAGCAGTGGTATCTTTACAAGTACATGTCCTTAACCTTTTCCCTCCAGAAACTATATTCTTTCTATAAGTGCTTCATCTGGACTGATTGCCCTGCTATCTACAGGATCCAAGTAGACCAAAAAACCCCCACACCGGTTTATTTCTGAGAGGGGTCCACTGCCATATAACAGTTTAAGGGTGGAATAAGAATACATTTTTTTTATAGTGTGACTGTTTGAGAGTATAGGGGGAGGGTTTGAATCCAAAATGAATTTGTGAAGTGTATTATATTTACTTTTGGTATCTTTACATGGTGTTATTCAATAATTGAATTAATCAATTTTTTTACTTAGCAGTGAAAGGAGATGGTGTGTGAGCGGTCACCAAACATAACGTTTCTGAAGCACCGTGTAGGTGTGGTGGTACTACAGGCTGTGCCGTAGTGGACTGCTACACAGCAGCACAAACGGTTGTACTTAAAACCTGTAACAGAACTCCCCTATAAATTTGGTGACTGGTATAAGAGCCAAATTCACTGATCATAAAAAGTGACAATCCACCATTTATCATTGTAACTTGAAAAATTTTAATAAAAAGGAGGCTTTTTTGTCATTTGATTTCTTGTATTTCCATTCTTAGTTTTTTTTTAAAATGGGTATTTTCATGGGCAAGCAGCGCGTGTAGGTTTCTCAGTTCTTTCTGTTTCCAGGAGAGAGGAGTCTTCCACAAGTTAGCCCATATACGGTTTTCATTGCAAATATTCCTCATTTGTAAGTAACTTGGAGTCAGAACAAAACCTAAACCTCCTAGAAAAATGCTTTTGAAGTGGTTTGAATGTACTGGGTTTTTTTCCATTCATCTCTAAAGTTGTAAATAAATTTAAAAAACCTGCCAGTTTTCCTGGCACAGCCTGACAGAAATGCTTTAGCTGGCTTTTTAAATGGGTTTATCTTTACCTTCTTTTTTTCATGCTATCAGTAAAGCACTCTACTACTATTGTAGAACTTACTTACAGGTACTGCCATTACAGCCTTGGAATCCTGAACAGGGAAGAAAGAGAAAGCTTATAATCAGATTTGGTGTAACAATTACTTTGCTAATCTTTACTTCAGTAAGACTTATATTTATGTAAACTCTAGTAAAATGAAGATTCTGAAGTGCAGGAGAGAGTGTGTCTATCTGGCTTGCTGTAGAGTGTGCTGAGTTTGTCATGTCTCTGTTTCTGAGAAATGCAACCAGGACAGTCTCAGAAAACTATTGCCCCATTGCCCAGTGCCTGCTGACTGCTACAGTACTTCTCGCCATCCTTTGGGGTTGGGTGTTGGATGAGGGTCTTCAATCTCAACTCTCCGCTGGGTAGTTTGCTTTTACTTTGCTTCCCAGTAAAGATAGTACTATTCATGTGTTTACATCATGCAAATTCCAGCTGGTTTGGGGCACCCTAGAGCTGCCATTGAAATTACTTTTCTGGTCAGTCATTTAACACTCTTCAAATTAACTTGATTGTTTTCCCTGAAGATATGTGGATTTTTTTTAATTGCTTCTGCCTGCTTATTTGCTAATGAAAGGAGGCCTATATTGCGGGTGTGTGCCTTGCATAACTTTACTTTCCTTGGCCTAATATAAAGGATATAATTTGTATGTACGTCAGTCTAAGTATTTAGCGCATGTAAAACAAATTCCTTACAAACTGCTATAAATGGTCAGAACCAACCATGAGGTCCGGTTGGCTGCTCCGTAAGCAACGGGACTTGAACGCTGCCGTTTTGCTGGTCACTGGTGATTTGCTCAGCCCCTACCAAAAGTTCACAGTACTTAAATTCAGCCACATGAACAGGCAACGCTAATATACTCATTTTACTTGTCAGCGTTGGAGAAGACTGCCCTGTCAGGTGTTTTAGAAGGTGGATTTTGCGGGGAAATCTGCCGTCTCGAGAAAAGGGATGTGAAGCAGTGCTTGCTTCTGCTATTACTGTCAGTTCGCTGAGTCTTTTGTTCACAGCTCTTCATCCTACCTTAGGTTTTTGGTATTGACAGTCGCTGAGGCCAGGAGCACAGTGTGTGTCAGCATTTTTCTGGGGAGAGAATGTGGCAGCGTTGACAGCCTGAAACAAAAGTGGGTTGGGTGGATGGGTTGTTTTCTACAGAAAGCCTAGTCTTTTCCTGCGGACTTCACAAAAAAGTTCAGGGTTTTTTTTGTTGTTGTTTGGATTTTTGTTTGCTTTTGAGGGTTGCTTTGGGGGGGGGGGGGGGGGGTGTTTTCCCATTACGAGCTGCACCATTTCTTCAGTATAATGCTGAAGGTTAGCCTAAAGCTGAGCTACTGCTTGGCATCCCATTGCCCTCAGAGCATTAGGCAAGCAGACTTTCAAGCTTTTCCTCTAAGGAAGGGTCAATGGCATCTCCTTTCTGATAAAAAAATGGGTGTGAATAAAATATTTTTAATAGGTTGTTGGATTCCCATGTATCTGAGAAGGGGAAGAGAGAACATTAAATTGTACCTCCAGAGGTAAGAAAATGAACTGGTCTGCTACTGGGAAAATAATGCTACTGTTAAAATAATCAAGCTGTTAACTGTATCATGGTCAAAACCTTTGTGCTACCCATGAAGCAGATTTTAAAATACTTAAATAGTTAATATTTGCAGCTAATGCTGCAAAGTTCGGGGACGTGGCCCAGAGCAGTGAAAGTAGTGCCGGGAGGCGAGAAGCGCTCGGGGAGCCGTCTCTGCCCCGGTCGGCTGTGACCGACACTGCGGTGTCATTTTGGAGAGGCCGGTGACGGCACTGCGGTGGGATTTCGGTGAACTGTCTGGACGACGTTCACGTGTTTATTTCAGGCCAAAATGTTAGAGAGGACTGATGTCTGCCTTGAGAGACTAACGTCTCCAAGCACCTTCTCGGAGATGCGCGGCCAGACCAGACCTTCGCTCCCCGGCTGCACCCACTCCTCTGGCCCGAGGTCGCCGTCCCTCGCCCCACCTGGGTGCAGCTGAAGATTAGTGTGTCCCTGTGGAACGATACATACCCATTTTCAACGTGAGCCACTGCTGTTTCAAAATCAGTCTCGCTGTCAGTAACAGGTCTCTCAAATATACCGTTAGATGCACAAAATGCTTTTATTGCGTCCAAGCAGAAGTCAAAGTCAGACTGCATTTCTGGATATACAGCAGCGAAGTTCATTTACACATACCGTAGCTCATTGGATTAAATACAGGAGAAGACACCTCAAGAGTTGGTACCCGTTCACGCGGCCCGCTGAACGCTGCGCACGCGCTGCGGATGCCCTGGAGTTAAGGGGACTGGAATACACGGGTCCTACAAATGCTGGACGTAGCTCTACCCCCTAGGAAGTATGTGCCCAAAGTACCGATTCAATACGAGTGAGAAATACTGAAATCATAGGTGCGTTTTACAAAGCAAACTCCTGGTAAAATATGACGTGGTTCTTAAGATGGGCAAATTAATATAGAAGTGCTTACTATCAACTCCTGCAGAGGGATGAAATGCTCACAAAAAACTACCTGTTTAAAATGTGTCTTAAAAATACGATGCATTTACTTATGCCCGATTCCAGAACAAGTTAAAGCAAATGCGACCTTCCACCAAAGTACATACCTGATTTTTTTTTCTGGTATTTTTCAGCAGCTATATATTACATATAAGTATCTATATCCTTAAAAGCTCAAGAATATTGAAATTTGCAGTAGCTATGTCTACAAGCAGGCAGAAGTAGAGGCAGGTTTCTATAGATGCAAAAACCAGTGTTTTATCATGGCTTTCTTGGTTTAAGGTATATGTAGAATTAGAATTTTGCGAACAGCCGTTGTTTTTATTAACCTGACATGCGTGTTTGGGTTTTCTAACTGTGCTCTTCTGGCTTATACTCAGAAATACTTCCCAGGAGCACTCCACAGCTGAAATAATTGTATAGTTAGGAGTTGAGCTATCTAATTTCTAACTAATTCTCTGTCTTACAGCCTTTATTCAACTACAAACGAAATCTAAAGCATATATTCAGCATAAAAAAGAAAACGGAAAATTTGAGCTTGCCCCTTCTATCTCTTAACCTGAAGAAACTTTATAGTTGAGATTTCCCAAATGTGGTTTTATTAAAACCTGAAGTTGTATCTGGCTTTTCTTCATTGAAAAAATAGATCTGTACATCCTTCTTTAATTACCAAGTACCTGAAGGTTATAAATTATTTTTTGCTTTACAAGTGTTTTTCACAGCACAAGCATGAGGTGCTAAGAGTAACGTAAAAATTAACGAATCCAGTCGAAGGTAAGAAAATACAAGATTATTCTTGGTTAGAAGAGAGATCAACTGTGCTTTTAAATTTCACTGCAGATTAGTAGCAACAGCACACATCTCGAAGGATCCAGTGACAGCAGACACCGAGCAGCAAGCTGCTGAAAGATTCTCACGACCGGATATTAACTCGGGGCTGTACTTCTGTACAGAACACTTTTAAACCATGCAGTCCAGGGAAGTCATGCATTGCGTTATGATCTGTAGTCCTTCTTGCTGTAGGGCTTGTTTCCCAGAATATTATCTATTTCATTTACAATATGGGATGTCATCTTTGGAAGGACCTAGGGGTGGAAGAAAATGGAAGTTTAATCAAGCTTCCATTAAAGGCTTTGCCAGTTTTCAATCTAGATTTTATCAAATAACGTTTCCTCTCATTTTTTGTGTGGCAGATATTTAAACATTCATCTAATTCCTTTCTCCCTTAAAGGAAAAACTACTGTAGTATCTTCACCCTGTGAGAGAATCACAGAAGCGCTCCTAAACTTTATATGCACGACATTTCCACTGCAGCTGAGCAAGCGAGCTGGCGGCAAGAACATCAGAGGAAGCTCTCATCGCGAAAAGCAACAGAGAATAACTAAGGTGGGTGCCAATGACATGTGCCCTGCGGGACACTTAGCGCAGAATGTATCGCAGCGTGTCCTGGAAGCAGGTCACTCGCTTTTTCAGATACATTAAACCTGCTGATGCCACCCCCCGGTCACTGGATGGGGCCATAACTACCACAGATCAGAATCACAGAATCACTAAGGTTGGAA